GTGCTGTGGGGACGGCGGCCGGGGTGAGCTGGGCCTCGCCCCCCAAGCCAGGCCCCCCGCCGGCCGCCGCGCACGCACCTGGCCCTCGTGGAACTGCTTGCCGGGGCTGGTCTCCTCGGGGTGGTAGAACCACTTGACGCGGACCACCATGTTGTTGCCCCAGGACTCCCACATGCTCTGGATGCGGCCGATGTAGGGCAGGTTGGGGCGGCCGGCCGACAGGAAGACGGCGCAGTCGCCGATGCGGATCATCTCCTTGCCGCGCACGATGGCCTTGTAGAAGAGCTTGCGCGCCTTGCCCTTCATGCCGCGGCGCTGCGGGGGGCGGGCGTCAGGGCCGGGCCTCTGCCGCCGCCCCTCCCTGGGCTCCCTGTCCCGCTCCCCGGGCTCCGGGCCTCTCCCCATCTGTCTCTGTTTCCCTCGGCTCTGCGTCTCTCCCCGTTGTCTCTCGGCTTCCCCCAGTCTCCAGGCCCTGCTCGATCTCAGTCTCCGTCTCTCTGGGGCGCCCTCGGCCTCTTTCTCCCAGTCTCTGGGTGTCCTTCGGCCTCCAGGTCTCTCCCCATCTGTCTCTCAGTTTCCCTCGGCTCTGCGTCTCTCCCCATCTGTCTCTCTTGGTTTCCCTCCATCCTCAGGTCGCGTGTCTCGGTTCCCTCAGTCCCTGGGTCTGTCCCAATCGGCCTCTCAGTCTCTCTCTCTCTGTTTCCCTCAGTCTCTGGGTCCTCACGGAGCCCGCAGCCTGGTGCCGCGCCACTGGCTGAGTCTGGGCAGGTCCCGCCACCCACCCTCTCCAAGTCACCCGCTGCCAGACTCCAGGGGTTCTGCGGGCGGGCGGAGGGGAAAGCCCTCTTCCAGCCCCGAAACGCTGGGTCTCCAGGAGGGACTTCGTCTGACCAAGGGGCTCTGCAGCTAAAGCGCCCCCATGCCCACGAGGACCCCTGACGCCCCACTGGAACGTGCGGGGGGTCCCCGCGGGCCGGCGCTCCCCGGTTCCTCTTGCCGGGTCACCTATCCCCCGCGAGGCTGTCAGCCCCTCCAACCCCCCTTCACAGGCAGGAAAACGGGGCTCGGGAGGCCACAGGTGTGACGCCCAGGCCACAGCCCAGGGCCCGTGACGGTGCCGTGCCCTTATGCGGCGCCAGACACAGGCCTGCCGCTGCGCACATGGCGAGTGCTGGGCTGCCCTAAAGCAGAGACTTGCTCGACACACCCTTGGGGCCCCAGGGGGCTGTCACTCGCCGCGTCCTCTCCCTGCAAGGCTGCCCACGGCAAAGCCCCTGGGTGGGGTTGCTCCTGTGGCTTCCCAGGCTACAAAAGGATCTGGTCCCGGAAACAGACCCTGAGATGAGGACCTGGGTGGCACCAAGTTTCTGGAAGTACACCCGGGCAAAGCAGGAAGGGCGGGGGACCTGGGACCCAGAAGGACAGGTGTCACAGAGTCCCGGGGCCCCTTGTGAATGGCCTGGCTGGGATGAGGGAGCAGGGCAGGCCCACTCTGCCGTCGTGGGCTCAGGGCTGTCCCTGGGAGGACGTCGCCCCAAGCGCCCAGGACCTGCAGGGCCCAGCCCCAGCCAGGGCCGCGGCATGCTGGGGGTTTCGTTGATTCACTCAACAAACACTCCCTGAGGTGTCCCTGGCGCCTGGCATCACCGTTACCATCCCGGGGGGAACTCCTCCAAGAAGCAGGGCTAAGCCAAGCTCTGCCCTCCCACAGAACCAGCACATCCTCACCTCAGACTCAACTCTGAAACTCACTCCTCCTGTCTCACACTGGCTGCCAGACTCTAAGTCAGACGTTTTGCTTAAGCAGGAGAAGGAACCCCACGGGCTGCTTGTTTGCCTTATAAAGCAATCCCTTTTCTACTTTTAATTCACTGGATCCCTGGTAGGAACAGACTTTTTACTAGCTACATCACTAATTGTTTTGTTGTTGAAACTTATTTAGAGCCAGGGTCTCACTCCGTCGCCCAGGCTGGAGTGCAGTGGCACGATCGTAGCTCACTGCAGCCTCGACCTCCGAGGCTCAAGGAATCCTCTTGCCTCAGCCTCTCGAGTCGGCGGGGCCACAAGCGCATGCCACCATGCAAGGCTAATTTAAAACAACTATTTGTTTGTTTTGAGTTGGAGTCTCACTCCGTTGCCCAGACTGGAGTGCAGTGGCTGCTCCCGGCCACCGCAGCCTCGACCTGCTGGGCTCCGGCGATCCTTCCGCCTCAGCCTTCCGAGTAGCTGGAACTACATGCGCGCGCTACCACGCCCGGCTAATTTTTGATTTATTGTAGAGATGAGCTCTCGCCAAGTTGCCCAGGCGGGTCTCGAACCCGTAGGCTCAGGCAATTCACTCACCTCAGCCTCCCAAAGGCACAGGATTACAGGCTGAGCCACCGAGCCCGGCTTAATTTTTTGATTGACTGTTCTCGAACCCATGGGCTCAGGCAGTCCTCTCACCTCGGCTTCCCAAAGTGCTGGGATTACAGGCTTGAGCCACAGTGCTCGGCCAAACAATTTTTTTGTAGAGATGGGATATCACTATGTTGCCCAAGGCCGGTCTCGAACTGCCAGGCTCAAGTGATCCTCCTGTCTCAGCCTCCCAGATTGCTGGGATTACAGGCGTGAGCCACCACGCCCGGCCAGCGCCACTAGTTTCTGACGTGTGTTCTGTGAGCTCAAGTTCTCTTTGGCTCAAGGAACCAGAGAGAGCTTGAGGCAGCTGGACGCAAGAGATTCCCAAGCTCAGGCCGAGCCCTTGACGGGGCCTGGAAGACTCTCCTGGTCTGCAGCCAGCAAGCCCGGAGGGTTTGTTGCTGGCCCCGTGCCCCGCAGGGCGGGAGGAGCCGGGCCAGCTCCCCAGATCCCAGTCGCACCGCAGAGGC